AAACAGAGTCTGAGCTGAGATTTGAGGAGGACGAGCGCTGGGTGATGATGGAGGAGTGGGAGGAGGCGACGCTGTCAGAGAGAGGAAAGGCTGTTCTGGTGGCAGAGGAGAAGAAGAGCTGTTGCTTGGCAGATATTTCTGAAGAAAGGGAGCAATCCGCTGCTCCGGAGGATGGCTCTGCCCCCAGCCCGGGCACCTCCCTGTCCTGCCCATCCCCTGGGGGTGCAGGGGGCACGTCCTGCACGGAGGACGCAGCGGTGCAGTGCAGGGTTGAGGACTTCACTGTGGTTTTGGAGCRCTCGACCAGCGCCACGGGCCCCGAGCTGTCGGACACGGACTCGGTGCAGATGTTCCTGGAGCTGGAAGAGCAGTGCCTGACCGAGGACGGGGGCGATGGGGCTGTCCCTGTCTGTCTGGAGGTCCAGATATCCCCCATGGACTCGGAGGGRCTGGACCCAGACTCGGCCAAACTGGCTCTGTTGGTGGTTGAAGGGCATAGAGTGCCCTTGGACATCAGCGCTTCGGACTCGGCCGTGGTGTCGGACCTGGAGGATTTCGATGTCACCTGCAGCTCGCAGGTGCTGAGCACGCTGGAGCCCTTGACAGAGCCCTTCTCAGAAAGGGACACCTTGGCTGTCACCCCAACGGACTCGGACGGAGGGGCCTCCCCCAGCCCCGTGGCCATGGCGGGGCTGGGCTCCCTCCTGGTGGGCGAGGTTGACCCTGACCCATTTGGGGACACGGATTTTGTGGCTTTGATGCCATCTCCAGGGGCACATCCCGCTGCTGGGCTGGGGGCAGATGGTTACCCCAGTGCTCCTGTGGGGTGGGGTGAAGATAACCAAGACTTGCCTCCTGAGGGGCCCTGTCCTGGCCGAGTGTCCCCCTGGCAGCCCCCGGCTCCGGACATGGCACTGGATGAGTTGGGGTCACCCCTGCCACATGGCCAGGCTGGCGTGGAGGGCGTGGTTCCATTCAGGACCCATCACCTCCTGCCTGCGAGGACTGAGGTCACCAGCTGGGGTGTCCCAGGACTGGTTTCTGAGGATGAATCTGCAGATTTRGGGTCAGGGAGCCGAGCTGAGGGCTGGACWCGCCCAGCAGAGAGTGGGGATGTTTGCTGTGGGTCTCTGCTGCCTTTTCACGCCGGTTCTGCATCAGAGCCGGGCTCCAGGGCTCCRACAGCGTTCCCGGTGCCTGCTGAGGACCTGCCCTGGGAAATGGTGACCCTGGGCCGGGGTCTGGCTCTGCAGGGCGCTGCCCACATGGAGGGGATCCCCGTGGAGGTGGCTGTCACCCACGGGGGGACACCAGCGGCTGTCCTGCAGCCAGGAGATGTGGAGCTGCTGTTTGCCCCTGGCTGGGGGCTCCCGTGTCCTGCCAGCCCCGCCGCCCCCGAGCAGCTCCCCAGCACATCACCCATTCCAGAACCTTCCATCCCGTGGGATTTTGGGGAGCTTCCTGCCCCACCCCACCCTCTTTCACCAGGAGTTGTGGCTCAGGGGGCACCCCCAGCCTTCGGGGATCCTGCCGTGGATGCTGAGGAACCTCTGGGAGCCACCACCGCTGCCGTGCCCTTGATGGTGGAGGAGCTCCTGGAAGCCCCACCGCCCTTCGCTGACGTGCCTGCTGCCACCGTGCCACCCGAGCCGCTCATCCTGGGTGCCAGGGACCCCAGTGGTGACACCAGTAGTGACCCCGTGCCACTGGCGGTGGCCTTAGGGGACACCGATGACTTTGCCATCGCGGTCGTGCCGCCCATCCCGGAGCACCTGCCCGCTTTGGAGGAGGATGACCCCGCTGCAGCGGGGCTGGCGGTTTGGGAGGGTCCCCCTGGTGCCTTCCCAGCCCCTCCAGAGGGTCCCAGCGTCCCAGAATTGCCAGGGACACGCTCTGCCCTGGCACGCAGGGCACAAACCCTGCCCAGGGCCGCGCTCAGGGACGCCCTCCGGCCCCGCAGATGCACGGGTGGCCTGTCCCCGTGTCCTGGCGAGGCAGAGGGGGCGCGGGGCGCGGAGGGACCCCTCGGCGCYGCTCTCGTGGCAGAAGGGCCTCCCGCTCTCGCAGATGGATTCGTTCCAGATAACGAGGTATTTGTTGCTGGGGCTCTCGCAGCCGGGGCTCCAGGCGCAGAAAACGCTTCATTTTGCACTCCAGGGGTGGGTGGGAGGTGGGAGCCCGCTCAGTAACGCACGATCTGGGCTTCCCAGCAGCCTTCTCCCTCCTGAGCTTGGCTTGAATTTGGCAGGCAGGAAGTTTTTGGGGGGGATCGTGCGATTGTGTAAGGAAGGGAGGCAAAAGACTCTTCGCTGCTCGATGACCTGAAGTGTTGTCTCACCCTTTTTTTTGGCTGATTGAAGCACGTTATGGTCACTCAGATGGAAATCGCAGACTTCAGAGAAACCTCCTCGCTGGCTCCTGGCGGGGAGTTCCCATCCTCGGAGCAGAAAAAAAATCCATCAGGAAACAGAAACCTGTAAAATGAATCAAGTGCAAACAATTCCTGTGCCGTGCAGTCATCTCTGTCTGTAGTTTTTTTCTGTGAGCGCGGMGGTGCCGAGGCTCGGCAGGCGCTCGGGAAGGGGCTCAGGTTCTCCTCTGRCCTTCGGGGATTTGCCAGAGGGACCTCGGTGCCGGAGTTCCCACAGCCCAGCGCCGATTTCCTGCCGCCTGGGTTAGGAGAAATAGCGCTGGGGAGACATCAGGAGTTAGTCAGCGCTGAAAAGCCCGGTTTGGTGGCGATTACTCATCCTTTGGGCTGTACCACGCCTTTGGGAAGGATTTYGGAGAGGTGTTTTCACATGGGGGGTCCATGTGAGTGTGAGCTGGGACACCCAGAGGGGTCTGGCTGAGTGGAACACCCTTGGGTTCTTGCCACGGGTGTCTTGTCTGAAATTCAGTGGTGGGATCCTCATTTTAGGTTCAGCACCTCTGATTGTTAACCCCATAAACCTCCCCCTTGCTCCAGGCGTGGCTGGAGGTGCTGGTCCTGCCTGGAGCTCCACGTCCAGCAGCGATGGGGTTAAGGGAGCCCAGAGCAGCAGAGAGCCAGGGGATGCTTTAGGAAAACTTTCTGGGAGCCAGGAGGAGGCRGAGGTGGAGCAGATGTCCTGCTGCTCTCCCAAAATGTCTGTCCCAGGACACCTCGCTCCACGGCTTCCCCTGCCCAGCTCGTTAAATATTTGCTCCCAAGCTGAGTCACGGCGAGGTTAACGAGCTAAATCGCTGGAATCTTCAATGAGCAGAGCAAAACAAGGGTGTTGGACACRCTCACCCTCGGGCTAGAGCTGGGATTATTTTTGTCAGAATCCTCGGGAAACATCAGGCCGGCCCATACCTGCGCTGCAGGTACCCCTGGTTGGAAATCCTGCCTTTTCCACAGGGCTCCTTCCCTCCCTGGCTGCTTCAAAGTTTGTTTTGCAGCCTGTGGAGAGCCCAGACCAGCCCAGCGTGCCAGGCTTATCAGCCTGATCCTTTTGTGGCTTTGGCCCTTCCACCCAGCAGCTCCATATATAAACAGGAGCAGCAGAGCRGCCCGGGAACCAACGATTCCGAGGCACCATTTATTTATTTCTCAAGGCCGTGGCAGAATTCTCCACGAGCAAAAAACCAGCTCTGGACAGTGTCTGCCAGCTCACCCCTCTCTCGTGTCCTGGAGGGACCTCCCTGCCMTCCTCTTGCCGAGCTCTGCTGGGGAAAAGCAGATTTTTCCCTTTGGGAACGAGGCGGGGAAAGTCAAAGCAGTGCCTCCCGCTCAGTCTGGGAGCTCTGTGTGTGTCTTTTGGGGGGTTTAGGTGTGTTTTGAGGGGATTTAAGTGTGTTTTGGGGGATTTTCGGTGTGTTTGGATGTGTTTTGGAGAGATTTTGCTGTGTTTTGAAGGGGTTTTAGTGTGTTTGGGTGTGTTTTGGAGGGGGTTTAGGTGTGTTTTGAGGGGGTTTAGATGTGTTTTGAGGGGGTTTAGGTGTGTTTTGAGGGGGTTTTGGTGTTTTGGGGGGTTTAGGTGTGTTTTGAGGTGGTTTAGGTGTGTTTTGAGGGGGTTTAGGTGTGTTTTGGGGGGTTTGCCTTGTGCTCCTCCAGGCGCAGAGAGCCGTGTCCTCCACGAGCCACTGCTCTGCTGCCGGGGCAGATCTCACATCCCAACTCCTGCAGTTTGACCCCTGCTCTGCATGGCCAGGAAAGACTCTGCTCCCTATTTTGGGATATYTGGGGTGCTGGCAGCRGGGACAGGRCAGCCTTGTCCCCTGAGACCGTTGGGGAAGGACTGGACAGGGACAGTGCACGGGCAGCGCGTGGTTCCAGCAGATCCCCGGCTCTGATAAAGAGCATTTATCTCCTCCGCAGAAACAGGATTCTCCCCKCTGCCTCTGCTGACAATGGGGAGCTTCATTCGCTCTCCTCCCCCTTCCCTATCAAATCTTTTTTGGTTTAGAAAGCTTTTCCCCACAGGATTCCCAGGCAGGACCGTGCCAAATCCGTGCTAAACGACTCGCACATTAATTGCCTATTGCCTTTGTCTTTGGAAACGCAGCGAGCTCCTCTCTGCCTGTAATTTCGTGGTTAACGAAACTCGTATGATGTCAGGTCTCTGCTCTCAATAGCTTCACTGTGAGAATTGCTCGGGGTTTTTTCCCCAGGAGCATTATTTCCCAATCTGATGGCGGGTCRGAGCCGATGCTCTCATTTCTTCCTYGCTTTTTCTCCTTTTACCTCACCCCGCTGCTCGGAAAAATGGGATTTGCCCGTGGAAAAGCAGAGGTGGGGGTGGATGAGCCCTGATTTGAGCTCCACACCAGCAGATTCCCGTGACATCTGTGTCACTGGGTCAAGGCGAGGGAGGAGTTGGGATGAACTTGCACAATTCCAATAAAATCAGTGCGAGTGGCTGCTGCACCTTCCCTCGGGAAGAAAGCCTGTTGTACCAACGGAGTGATTGAGGGGCTGGAAAATCAGCTCACAGCTCATAAATCACCTTTTTCTCTCCCACCCTTTCCGTCCCCAGCAATTCCAGAAGGAGCAAGTGGATCCCCTCCAGGTGAAGCTGCAGCAAGTCAATGGAGTGGGTCAGGGACTCATCCAAAGTGCCGGGAAAAACTGTGATGTCCAAGGGCTGGAACATGACATGGAGGAGATCAACACCCGCTGGAACACCCTCAACAAGAAGGTGGGAGCCTGGGGAGGGGCTGTCCCTGTTTTTTTTGGGGGTGTGGTGGTAGGAGGGGTCATTGGGGTTGTTTTTGGGGCTGTTTTCCCCATGCCTGACAGTGTAGTTTTTGGGGCTGTTTTGCCCATCCCTGACAGTTCGCTGGGGTTGTTTTTGGGGCTGTTTCCCTGGTGCCTGACGATGCAGTTTTTGGGGCTGTTTTTTCAGTGCCTGACGGTTCACTGGGGTTGTTTTTGGGGCTGTTTCCCTGGTGCCTGACGATGCAGTTTTTGGGGCTGTTTTTTCAGTGCCTGACGGTTCACTGGGGTTGTTTTTGGGGCTGTTTCCCTGGTGCCTGACGATGCAGTTTTTGGGGCTGTTTTTTCAGTGCCTGACGGTTCACTGGGGTTGTTTTTGGGGTTGTTTTCCCCATGCCTGACGATGCAGTTTTTGGGGCTGTTTTTTCAGTGCCTGACGGTTCGCTGGGGTTGTTTTTGGGGTTGTTTTCCCCATGCCTGACGATGCAGTTTTTGGGGCTGTTTTTTCGGGGTGCAGGTGGCCCAGCGGGTGGCTCAGCTGCAGGAAGCCCTGCTGCACTGCGGGAAGTTCCAGGAYGCGCTGGAGCCGCTGCTGAGCTGGCTGGCAGACACCGAGGAGCTCATCTCCAACCAGAAACCTCCCTCGGCCGAGTACAAGGTGGTGAAAGCCCAGATCCAGGAGCAGAAGGTGAGCAGGTGGGAGGGAGCCAGATRATATTTTTGGGGTCCAGCTGGGGTGTGCATGAGGTGGATCTCAGCTCCTCACATCCCAATGTCAATGAGGCAGCTCAGGGATCTCCCTGCCCTAAATCGCTGCGTCCCTTCCTTATCCCGCCGCTGGTTCTGCCGTGTTTTCCCAGCCCGGAGTTTCACTCTGTGCTGGTAATTCCACAATTCAGGAGTGCCCTGGTGGTGGTGCAAAGCCTGGTTCAGGGTGTTTGCACAAAGGGAATGTCACTGAGGGTGAGAACCAGCCCGAGGTGTGCCGGTGTTGGCAGAGATAACAGCCCGGGGTCGGCGCCTGCCCTTCGGAGAGGGGAGGAGGGGAGGTCGAGTGTGGTCGTGGGSAAATATTTTAGAAATGAACTCTTACCCAGGCTTGGAAGAGGAAATGGGCTTCAAGTGGAAGTTAAAAACTCGATAAGTTGGAGGGGGTTGGTGGGGAAGGCTCGGAAAAGTTTCTGGAACAGAAGTGGTTTGGATCTTGGATGGTGTGAAAGGGGAGGGGAGTGGACAAGAGGAGGGGAGGGAAAAGGGAAGAAAAGGGGAAAGGGAAAAGGGAAGGAAAAAGGGAATGGAATGGAACGGAATGGAATGGAATAGGATAGAATAGAATAGAAAATAGACCAGAAAATAGAATAGAAAATAGAGTAGATTAGAACAGAAAATGGAATGGAATAGACATAGGAATAGAATAAAATAGAATAGAAACACAATAGATTAAATGAAAATTCACTTGGAAGGGACCTACAGACCCATGTCCAGCTGCCTGACCACTTCAGGGCTGACCAGATTAAAGCATGTGATCATTATAATGTCGTATAATATAACTCTATAATTTTTCCAACTGGTTTTGAAGGCAGAGCCGTCCCCCCAGGCTGGGCCTGGTCTTACCCCAATGCTGGCAATGGTTCTGAGCCACAATGACAGATCTGACCTCTCCAGGGGGCTGGATTCGGTTCTGCTGCCCCAATCCATGACTTTTCCCCTTCCTTTGTCTGTCCCCAGCTGCTCCAGCGCCTCCTGGACGATCGCAAGGCCACGGTGGAGATGATCCAGGCCGAGGGCGACCGGATCGCGCAGTCGGCCGAGCCCGCTGACCGGGACAAGATYGTGGGGCAGCTGGAGAGCCTGGCACGACGCTGGGAAGGGCTGCTGGCCAGGGCAGCTGCCAGGTGAGAGTGGCTGGGACCAGCTCACCCCATAAATCACAGTGCCCCGGAGCCGGGGGTGACAACATTCGGGATGCTGGCGGAGATTTGGGTGCAGATACATCCTGGAAATGTGGAAACAGCTGGGAAACGTGGGAAATCAAAGGCTGGCTGGGAGCTGGAGCTGATAGCAGTGGTTTACAATGGCAGGGAAGAGCTGAGATTAAATAATTTCCCTGCAGGGGAGGGATGTTATTTTTATTCCTGCGAGCGTTCACGTTCGGCAGCATCCTGTTGACACCTTTCTGCCGCCAGAATCTTGTTTGTCAGTTTATCAGTTCCTGATTTCCACCTCAGCTGATCTTTGAGGTTATGAAGTCACTTCTGAGGGCCAGATTGGACCTCTCCCAGTGTTTTTAATCATTGCCAACAAACTGGAGTGTCCATCAGGACTGTCCATCAGGACTGTTCATCCAGAATTATCCATCCAGAACTGCCCATCCAGGATTATCCATCCAGGATTATCCATCCAGGATTATCCATCCAGGATTGTCTTTCACCAGAAGCTCTGGAATACCCCGGCCAAAAGCTGAGGGATCTCCAAGACAGAGATGGAAGCAAAGGGAGTTGAAACAAAATGATCTTTGAGGTTCTTTCTGTCTCAAACTGCTCCAGAAAAAGCTGATTTTGCAGTTTCTCCACACTGATTTTTGTCTTTGCCTTCATAACTGCCTGACATGGTGTCTCACCTTGCTCTGAGCGGGGCTCCCTCTTCCAAATGCCTGAAGCTCCAACTGGGAGCTATTCCTTGGTGTTTCCATTGTCTTAAAGAATCACAGAATCATCCTWAAAAATCATCTTCAAAATCAGAATCAGCTTAAAATCATCTTCAGAATCAGAATTGACCTTAAAAATCATCTTAAAAATCAGATTCAACCTTAAAAATCATCCTAAAAATCAGAATCTACCTTAAAAATCATCTTCTAAATCAGAATCAACCTTAAAAATCATCTTCAAAATCAGAATCAACCATAAAAATCGTCTTAAAAATCAAAATCAACCTTAAAAATCAGATTCACCTTAAAAATCATCTCGTTCCAAGCCCCTGCTGTGAGCAGGAACACCTTCCACCAGCCCAGGCTGCTCAGGACCCTGTCCAACATGGCCTCGAACGATTATTTCTGATTTTATGATTATTCCTTGCAGGCAGAAGCARCTGGAGGATATCCTGGTGCTGGCCAAGCAGTTCCACGAAACCACAGAGCCCGTGTCCGACTGGCTGTCGGTGACGGAGAAGAAACTGGCCAACTCGGAGCCCATCGGGACGCAGACGGCCAAAATCCAGCAGCAGATCAGTCGCCACAAGGTAGGAGCCGTGCAGGAGCAGGATGGAGGTGGCTGCAGCCAGGTCCCGCTCCGGTGGTTGTTTCCACCACAACCRGGGCGGTTTTTGGCACAAACACGGATTGGAGGAGTTGTTTTACGGACAGACAAGGCTGTGTGGGTAAACATTAAGCTGGTGCCCTTGCACCTCCCAGCAGATTTGTTCAGAAAAACCATTCTCATCCACGTGTTCTTTTATTTAATTTTGACTCATTTTGCCCGCTCGCGGGTGGGTTTTGTGTTTTTCAGTTGCGCTCACCCGTCGTGTCGCCCATTTCACGTTGCGTTTCTTTCATTTCGCTCATTTTTTTTCCCCTTCCCTTTTCTGTTGTCCATTCTCCCCTCCCTCCCCCCTCGCCATTCAGGCCCTAGAGGACGAGATAGAGAGCCACTCCACCGCCGTGTCTCGGGCGTTGGGGGTCGGGCAGGCTCTGTCCACCCTGAGCTGCGCGGCCGAGCGGCGGCTGCTGGCCGAGCGTTTAGAGGCTCTGCAGGGTCGCTACGGCGAGGTCCGGGACCGGTGCTGCCGTAAGGCAGCGCTGCTGGAGCAGGCTCTGGCCAACGCCAGGCTTTTTGGGGAGGAGGAGGTGGAAGTGCTCAACTGGCTGGCTGAGGTGGAGGACAAGCTGGGCTCAGTGGCCATCAAGGATTACAAACGGGACGTCCTGCAGAAGCAGCATGCCGATCAGCTGGTATTTCTATTTCCCCTTTTTATTTTTTTTTTTCCATGTTTGTGTTTTTATGTTGTTTTCATTGCATTTATCTGGTTTTGTTTATGTTTTTGGCCTCGCTTTTAATTTTGCCAAGCTCGTTCTGCTGCTGGTTCTCTCCGAGCCTAAAGAGATTTTGTGTGTTATGAACAGCAATTGTGGCCCCCACCAAAAACCAAAAAAAAATGGGCTTTTCAGGGCGGGGGAGGTTCAAACAGCTCGTTTGCTTTGTGTCTGAGCCGGCTTGGCCACCCTGTGCCTTCAGAAAGCCGGATGCTGTTTCCAAACTTGAGAGCTGGAAAAGCCTGGTGGGATTTTGGGGCTGGGCTGGGCACCGAGGAAGCCTCTGCTTCCCCTCCCTGGGGCTGTGCAGGCTCTTTTTGGAGTGAAGTTCTGTCTGATGCAAGGGAACATCCTTGGTGACACAGATCAGTGGGTTGGGATGGGTTTGCTGTAAGATTTGGGCCTTTAGGTCCCAGAAATCCCAGTAATTCCCATAGAAGGATGACTGGGCAGCTTTCAGGTGGGTTGTCCACCATCTCAGCAGGGAAATTCATGCTCTTCATGGCATCCCTGGCTGGCACGACCCAGGGACCTGCCCCCACAGCAGAATAACCCAAATTCACCTTTTCCTTCAGGCTTTGAATGAGGAAATTGTGAACAGGAAGAAGAACGTGGACCAAGCCATTAGGAACGGGCAAGCTCTCCTGAAACAAACCACAGGTACAACACTGAGGAGATCCTGGGAAGCGTGGGGGGTCCAGGAATCCATCCTCCCCGTGCTTTTCCTTGGGAACTCCATGCTCTGCTGGGTGGAAGCCATTCTCCCTCAGCTCCTCATTTCCTTCTGGAAACTCCCAGAGTTGCTGGTTTGCCTCCAGCAATTCCTTGGATGCTGAGCCACAAACTCTCCAGCTGAGAAAGGATTTGCCCGGTCCCAAATCCCAACCCCGCAGCCGGATTGGGATTCCCACCGCTGCCGTGGGGATGCTCAGGGCTGGGGGAGGCTTTTCTCACTGCAGCCAGCTGCAAAATCACGTGGAAAAGAGGTTAAAAATACCCCCAGCCCTCTGCTGATATTGCTTTCCCAGACAGAGCGGTTGTGGCTGTTGCCACGTGGGTGTGAGTTTGTGTTTGTGAGTGGGAAGGGAGGTCGGGGCGCTGCGTTTCCTTCAGATGTGGCCTGCTCGGAGCAGCTGTGCAGCCCYGTCCTTGTGGGAGCTGTGAGCAGGAAGAGTCATTATAAATGTTTTGGCAGCAGTTCCGTGTGCTCTTGGAAGCTGCAGCGAGGGGCGAAGTGACCCTTTCTCCTTGGAGCTGGGACACGCTGCTGGGAACGGAGCTGGGGTGGTTTTGGGGCTTGTGGTGGAGCTGGGCTTTGCAGGACACTTATCCCATCCCAAATGCCATCCCAAATGCCATCCCAAATGCCATCCCAAATGCCATCCCATCCCAAATGCCATCATAAGTGCTATCCCATCCCATGGATCCCATCCCATCCCATGGATCTCATCTCATCTCATCTCATCTCATCTCATCTCATCTCATCTCATCTCATCTCATCATTTCTGTTCCC